GCGATGTTACGCGAGGGGAACTAATGCCTTCCGGGAGGACTTTTATGGGGAACTGGCCTCCTATTTAGTCGTTATTGGCAAGGAGAAAACCCGGAAAACTCCAAGCAGCCAGCCTGTCCGATCGCGGCACGAATCCACGACCGAACTTCCCAGTGTTTAGGGTCCAGTCACCACCGCTATGAGCGGCAATGGAGACCACTCGGCCACTGGTGGGCATTTAATTCCTAGCATCTAATTTTTACATGAAGAAATGCTTTTGACTGTTGGGTTCTAATTAAAGGAACTGTCAGATTTTAGAACGGTGATTCAAAAAATTATTTGAATGTAGGAATATACTGTAGATATATTATTATATTCCATTTGAGTACATTTAAAAATGAATTTGCATTACATTGCAAAATCAAAAACGTCAAATTACAAAAATTTATTTAATATTTATGTATATTTTAAGAGATTTTAGTGACAGAATAGTCTTCCTATATTAGAAACATTCTGATAAGGAAAGACCACAAATTGCTATGCATACTTTTTAATAAAATGCAATTTATTATCTGGATTCTGGTATCTTTTACTTTGTATAAGCCAGTAAACCCATTTATGTGAATAGGCAATATACAAGGAAAAAACTTGAAAAGAAATTCACATACAGTTAATAAGTAGTATGCCTGACAAAACAGAAGACAACTGTGGTGAGGCCTGGTCATTAATGCCTATGATTTCTGATTCAGGTTCAATTTGCCCTTATTCTTTTTATATTTGTAATTTACTAAATTTAATTGAAGCACAAGGTTATTAAAAATGAATCATTGGATTTCAAACAACTGTATTCCAACAATAATTCAGATTTAACAATGAGTGATGTATTAAAAGAACTAGAAACTGTCCGACTTTGTGTTATAGGACTACAGTTGTTCTGTGTGTGTTCCTTATAGTAACATGTCATATGTTCAAGTGGTAGTCCAGTTTGCCCCATACATTGTAGTATGTTTCCTGGATGGTCATAATTGCAGTAGTAATGTGATCCCAGAGCTCTGCCAAAGATGTGGTAATGGCAGAACATAAACCTGTAAAATCACATGGTATATGGTCTGGAGATCTGGGAGACATCTATATAGTGCTAAGGTATTGTTACTATGATGCCCAATTATGCTGTGTAGGAGTTCTGTATTCAGATATTGAGGCATCTCAGTATGTTAATGAGGTGAAACCCAGCCTGTTAGAAGAAAAGGTCACCAAAATGACTTCTACTGCATAGCCACCATTTTGACAATGGACATTGTGCTGTCACCTGGTATGTTGCAAAGAAATCTTCAAATTTGGAGAGTTTTTCTTTCATTTCTTGTCTGGCCTGGATATGGATAATTCAGCTTGATACTTTGGAAGTTACAGGAGTTTTAAACCCAATGGTTCTTAACCCTGTACTTTTATTTTACAGCAGTTATAAATTTAATATTTTTTCTCTAGTTAAAATTGCACATACGACTATTTTTATAATCTTTTGTTCTTGTTCTACAAAATGTCCCAAAAATCACAATGCATAAGAAAATTTAACACTTATTAGAAAATTGTGATTGTATTTATAAAATGAAATAGTATGTTCAACTTTAACTAGAGACAATAATAGAAAGTAATAAGTATTTCATTTTCTTTTATTAAAATTGCAACAACAAAATAAATCTGCTTACAGAATATGAAAGTGTTACTCAGTTTTATTTTGCATCACTCTACTTGCAACATTGATGTCATATTTCTCAGACATAACACTTCAAAATGGCAAAGGTTTAAGAGAAAAAAATATGCATTCTTTAGTTTTTTTTGAAAGTCTGTTAACATAATCACCATTATTCAAAACTTAGTATGGAAGAGATCTACCTTCAGATAATGTTATCGGAGGGTAGATCTGTTATGATGTGAAATAACACTTATTCAAATTCAATTTAGTATTATATGTAATAAATTGTATTTTTTGGTTTCTTCTGTATGTTACATATGTTATCATTACAAAATTCAATCATAATTTAAATATGCTACTTTATACATCTGTTGGTGTATATCACAGATAAAACAGTTTCCATTACTACTACTGTATTTGTAAGGAGATATTTGAATATACAGTGGGTGATTGTTAATGAACATAATCCATTCCAAGACTTTGTTCGCTATCCGAATTGTTTGTTAACTGATTATCGATTTACCATAGGTTTTAATGGGAATTTAATTAATTCCTTCGGTAGACCCCAAAAAATAAAAAATGTATACTTTCTTACTACGTTTATTTATATGTAATAATAAAAATACATACATACACAGTCTTGCATTTTTATTAGTCATGTTTTTTTTGTTTGAAAGGGTTAAAGAATCTGTCTAATGTTGATTGCTTGTCTCTCTTCTTCAGGATTTTTTGTAAGTAATTAATAGCATTGCAATTGTAGAAATCCCCAAGCCTCAACCTGGTTTGGATGCCATTCTAAGACCATTGTTATTACATCCTCCCACTTCTTCAGATGATGTTTAATAGCAGATATCGGCATTAATCCTCTTTTTCAGAAGGAAACATATCTCGCCGAGTTTCTTGGCGTTATTCTGTCATCAGATCCGTTTCAGGTTTCATTATGAACTCTTCGATGTTCTTTATTTCTCAGATGTGATTTTTGTTACTCCTTTAGCTGCTTGAGTCTTCTTGATTATACAGTATCTTTCTTAAATAAGATCGAACTGTGGCCTACTGTAGACCTGTTGACGCCATACTGCCAAGTAACATTAAGCATCTTCTGCCCACTCTCTACCTTTGCTATTATACTCTCACCTTTTAAAAAGAAAAACAGACGCAAAACTTAACGAGTGCCTACCCGACAGTCTCGCGAATACATAAAACAATTGTTTCTGACAGAAAAATAAAAGGCTGGAATTTCAAGGGAGAGTCTCAAAGTTTGGAGGAATATTATCCAATCGGTATATACTGGGATGAGTGTCGATGTCGACGTCTCCCACACTCCGAAAAGTTTTGAATTGTTGCCCGAAGACAAGGGAAGACCAATTGGTATTCATTATTTTACGTAGCTTCTTTTGTTTGTTCTGTGGGGTGTTTGTTATCTGATCATGTGTTCATTGTCTGATCATAAAAATCTTTCGCAGAAGTGTTCGTTATCCAATTTGTTCATTAACCGATCACCCACTGTATTTCTCATATATACTAATCTCTAAATATTTGAAATTTATGATAAACAATTTGCAATGTTTTAGAGGCCACAGGATAGTATGATAGTTTATTTAATATAGTTTATGTAAATATAAATAATATTTTGATGATTATTATCACTAATTACTACTATTATCATTTTCAAATATGCTTTATAGAACTATATATGTATATATAATCATTATCCTTTTTTTAAATTTGCTAATTATATACAAATCTAACAATGATTTATTGAGTTTGCATTACAGTATGGTCTTGTTTTATGTAGGGGTTGTTTATCATCAAGTACTATATGAAATTCCACATAAATTTGTTTTACTGTAAATAGTCCTAGATACTTACAACTTACACCACCATTTATAATAAACAAAAATTTTTAAATGTGTTTAAAATGTTTTACTTTTGTTTTTACTATATATACCAAATTTAATAATAATTATAATAATAAACTTATGCATTAATAGTGGAATTACCCTGTGCATCCACTGAGTTGGCCCAACATTTGCCATCCATGAAAACATGAATCCACATATAATAATCTCACATAAAACAAGACTATATAATTAATTATGTAACTAGTAAATTTTAGGACAGAGATTTTACTAATTTAGGTTTAGCTATTTGAAACTATATCTATTGGCCATTGTTTACAAAAAGTTTTGAAATGTTTAATATTTTTATACATATATTAACATAATTTACTCATAAAACTAAATTTAAATATTTTTAAATTCCAGGCACTTCTTCATGTAATAAACTGTATTAATAATGAAAGCTTTGAAGAGAAAGTATCTCATCTGATAACGTTATGGAAGTGTTTAGCCAAATTTTCCAATTATTTACAAGAAATTTCAGAACTGTATCAGTTTGTCCTAAAGTAAGAATTATATATTTTTTAATTATTATGTTAAGTTTTAAATTATAATGGAAATAGATTAAAATTTGTTTTAAACATATTTATATTTTCAAAATTTTAAGCATATTATTGATCTTATAAATTTAAAAGCCAATAAAAAATAATACTGTATTAAAGCATGTTACATTAAATGAATATAATTATATGCATGATCTTAATGTGCCACCTGATTTTCTTATGTACCATATTTTATACTTACATAAAAATGGCAAGGAAAATTTTCTTAAGAATTTAAATATATGTATATATTTTACTGTAAGTTTGCATGTAATTATTTTTAAAGTAATAAAAGTTATTTTGAATAATACTCGTATAATAGGTGCTAGATATTTATTACTGAAGAATGACTGTTGCATGGTTTTATGATTTCCCTTGGAAACTTTAAATAAAAGAATTGTTTATTGTTACTGTTACTAAATATTAATTCAGTATACTGTGTATTGAGCTTATTTACCTTTTGTGTTTGTGTATATTATACCATACATATTAGTTAGTGTTTTTTAAATTATTGATCAATATCTTCTATGATATGTTGATGTTAACTATAAATTTTGTATATAATTAACTTTTTTATTGACTCTTCAGGATATCAAACTGTAGTTATTAAATGCTATAATAAAAATTGACTCTTATGTTTGTCTATATCTTTAATTTTTATCAATGCAATTGATAAATGAAAGTTGCTAATTAATAAATGTTTGGTTCTTTCATCTAATTTAGAAATATCTTTCATCTTATTTAAATAATATTTGAAAAAGTTGTGAATACATTCTATATTTAAAAGCTACTGGAACTTTCATGCAATTGATGATGATAACTTATATTCTATTTTTTAAAATATATGTAAATATTCACAACAATCAGTTTAAATTGTAAAGAATCATGTTTACTAAAAAGAATTTATTGCTAAAGGTTATAAATGTTGCTCATAACTAAATCAAATATTAAATTGGAAAAAAATGTTTACAAACATTTTATCATCAGCATTTTATTTATAAATATGTGTAGAATAGAAGTGAAGTCAGTTTTTAATCATATTGAAAATTCAGTAAAATTTAAATTTTATGATTACCATCTTTTTTCTTGAATTTTATTTCTTTGGATTAACATTTTTAGTAGTTTTATTACTTTATGTAGACTCTCAAACTTACAGATTTTTCTCTAAAGCTACAAAAAATTTAAAATGCAAAATAACTATATTCTAGAAGACTATGATAATGAAATTTAATTCATTTTATTCTAATCTCACAATAAAATTGTAATGTAAGTAAAATATTTTAAAACTGATTAAAATTTTTTAAAAAATCCTTAGCAAGAAAGTATTTTTTTATTGCATTTTTAAACATATAAAACAAAAAAATTAAACCAAAAAATGCAGAAATTTTCTTTTTCCTTTTTGTTATTTTTAATGACAGTTTCTTGTTGCTTTTGTATTTTTACATGTAAAACTATGAATACTGTATTTACTCGTATATAAGACAAGGTTTTTATTCATTTTTCATTGCTTCAAAAACCTATGTCATCTTATATGTGTGAGCAAAGGATTTTTTTCGTTTTTGCAATAATTTTTGTGAACTGTATATTTGCATTTTTTATCGGATTCTCACCTTCTGGTGTTTAAAAATAAAAGTATTTTATCTGAGTCATTTGAATTGTTCTTGTGTATTGTCAGGAGTAAAGATAAATAGCAATAGGAAAATCAAAGCTTTTGAATTGAATTCCAAAATCACACCAGAGCTCAATATAAGTTTAATCCATTCCCACGTGAAAACAGATGATTATTCAGAAATCAGAATTCGGAGAAACTCATAAGTGTAATGAACAGAGAGTGGATTAGACTGTTAAGAATTGGCAAAAAGTTCCCGATTGTCCAGCTTTACATTAAGAAAGTATGTTGTATATTTTACAAGATTTTTCCTTTAAAGTTTAAAATGCTAGTAGTTTTGCAGGACAATGTGTGCATTTACATGCACTTGATAATATTTTATTTGTGATTAAATGAAAAAAAATCAGAATTGTATTAGAATTTTCTTTATTTTGATCTTTAAAGTCACATCTTGTCCTATATGTGAGATTGTCTTATATGCAAGTAAATACAGTATTCTCATATATTTATATTGTTAAATAATGTTGAAATGGTAGTGGTGTATTTTAGAATTTCTAATTAGTTGAACAATTTCATTATATTGACGTAAATAAACAAGAATCTGTACTCAATGGTAATTCATTATTCACTGAATTTACTTTGAAGTTATTTCTGTTTCATTGTTTAAATTTGTAGTTTTCATTTTTGGATTACTTTGTCGATTTTACAAGTTATATTTTGTGTTCTTATAGTAATTTTAAATATACTTTGGAACTGAATATATATAAGAATTTTTATTGTAGGTCTAGAGATTTATTATTGCTTTTTTCTTTGAAATTTTTTATCTTAAGTCATGGTATGGATTAGAAAAAAGATATAGATTTCTCAGTTTATAAATATCAGATTTAGTAATATCAATGTTATTTAATAAAGTAAAAGCCTTTACAGTTGATTAGCAACATTTGTATATCATCAGATACTATGTATCATCTACATATGTTTCTTTTTTTGTTAAGTTACAGCAATACTGGAAAATGTTTAAGAATCTATAAATTTAAAAATTTTGAATTTTATAAAAAATTTAATATTTAAAAAACTTGAGATCTAATACAACTTACTAAAATTCTGAAATAATTACAATGCATAATTTTTTATATAGGGAAAGTTCCTTAGTAATCCTTTCAAGTCAGTGGTCCAAAATAAATATATCTATGAAAAGAACAATGGCAAAAATGTTAATTTATGGCAGCCATATTCTAGGTCCTCGTATCAAAGGAAGTGCACGCACGTGTGCTGCTTTAATAATGGCTATTTATGATCCTTGGAATGAACCAATATTAAAGAAAGCACTTTCTGACGATAATTTTCTTGAGGAGTTAGCTTGTAAGTATATTATTTTTTATTACATATAAGTAATTGCTTGAGCTCATTCATCTTGAAAACTTGTATTATTTTTTAAATTTATTTTGAAATTATTATTATTATTATTAATATTATTATAAAAAGAATTCCTTTTGCATATACATGTTAACTCTAGGGAGAAAAACTATTGTTTAGGCCAAGGTTAAATGTCAGTTTAAGTTTTATAGTTTAAATGTTTCTAAAAATTTTGTGTGTTATCTTAAAAATTTAAGAAATTTCCTATTGTACTGCAGATTTTAAAATTTTGGCTCTAGTTGAATATTTAGATGCAGCATTAAACTAAAATTTTTTAAAATGCAAATGATCTAAATAAGTACTTGAATATTTTATTATTATAACACATTAAGTATCATAGTTATTATTTTAATTAAATTAGATTTTTGGTAAAGATTTTCAATTCAAATTTTAATCAATCAATCAAATTTATATTAACACATTAGGGAATTTTCCCTGTTACAGGGGGTTTATATAATAATCTTTACATATTTTTATGAATTCAGCAAAATCATATGTTACTTGTTAATGTCTTTTTAATATTACATTTCTTTTAATACTTTCATTGAATTCGCAAAGTGTAAATTAATCATTAACCAAACAGTAATATTTAAATCATTATAAAATTTATTCAGGGAAGAATAATAACTCAAAAACACTAAACCATATTTTGTCTTGACTGATATTTAGAACAGTTACGAACATATGAAAAACTAATATCTGTTTACCACACTTACATATATATATCCAATCTCAGTAACTTTTTATTATTTGCTAGATAGAATCTAATTATTTGAACAAATTTATTAGATTAATTTATTAATATTTAATGATTTGAAAATACATATACTGTAATTCCTTTTTTTATCATCTACTAGTTAACTTGATACCATGTATGGTAACTTATCTGATTCAAACGCTTGTTTTTCTTGTACAGTCGGCCCCCCTATAACATGGTAGATACGTTCCGTTCTTTATGAAATTGATGTTCTAAGAGTTCTTGAATACATGAGCCAATCACAGCCTGGCACGTATGCAGTTTACGGACTATGGCTGTTTGAAAGGTTTTCTTCCATAAAATTAATCGATTCTAGACTAATTTGACTCAACATTTCCAAAATATGTATAATTTTTTGGGAATAATCCATATAAACTATGCTATAAACAAAAAATTGTAAGATTACTTACCGAGTGTGCACCGTTCGACGACTCCATTGCTTAAACTTGTTTTCGTTGTGGAGCTTGTCATCGAATGGCGCTCAAGTGCTTCCTGATAAATTGTTTTTTTCCGAAAAATTTGCTGAACTTTGGAGACATCATTAATATAAATATAATTTTTATGGACGTTAAATAATAAATGGTTTTTAGTAGGTCTGCTGCTCGTTTAAACTCAA